GGACGCCGCCCGCCCGCCCACCCGCCGCCATCTTCCCAGCCGCCCGCCAGTCCAGCGCCCCTTGCGGGAACCGCCGCCCACCTTGGCGCCGATCTGGTTTCCGCACTGTCCGGCCTGCAGGTGCACGATCTCCCTCATGGCGGCGGCGGAGGTGGCGCAGATGTCAGCAAGAACACAAGAGCGGAAGAGCGGGCGCGCAGACTGCTACAACCGACGTTCGGGGTACCTTTATATGGGCACGGGGGAGCCCGCCCCGGCCGGCCTTGGATTGGGCTGCCAGAACGAGGCTCTCAAGTGTCTCTGTTGGATTGGTTGATACCCTGTCAATCAAGATTTCTAAGGCCCACCTCTCTAACTCTGAACGCTCGTTATGGGTCAGCTCTGGTCTCCGTACTCCCTATCAAAATCGCCTTCCCTTGCGCTGCAGTCTTCTGCCCATTGGGTGTTTCAAATGATTGATTTGTCCCCTTATTGGTTGGCGCCAGTGCCAAGTTCCATCCGACTGGTATTATTGGCCCAGCAGGGTTAGCGTCCTGGTAACCGCCGCACTGCAGCGAGAGCCGCCCGCCGAAGGGGGGACGCGGGCCCTAGGCGTGCGCGCGGGCGCGCGAGTTTTTGGCTGGACGGCGTGACCCACGAGGGGCCGTCCTTGCGGAGGCAGGTCCGCCGGAGGCTTGGCGGGTCCAGTCCCACGGTGCAGACGGGAAGGTGCTGCCCTGGGAAATGCAGGACGGCGAGCTGCGGCCAGGCCCGACTGTGCGCGCGCGTGCGTCGGAGCGCGTCCCCAAGCAACTCTGGTCGCCCCTGGTTGGCTGCCGCGGTCGGTGCCTGCACAGTGCGGGGGCCCTGGGTGCGTGGGCGTCGAGATCCGGCGAGGACGATACTGCGGGGCCGGGGCCACCCAAGGTCTCCGATAGGGAGAGCCACCAAGAAATAAACAAGGCATATGACCCCCTTCTCCCTGCACTCCCGGCAGCGGAGGCCGGTGGGTGTGGGGCGGCAGGTTTCCGGGCCGTCCCGCCCCCTGCGCAGTCGGGCCAAGCCCTGGCTCCCTCCCTCGCACAGCCTTTGGAGGCGCCGTGGGTGCGGGGTGCCCGGGCCTGGCGCCAGGGCCCCCGGCGCACTCGCTCCCGGGAGCAAGTTGGTCGCGCAGGTCTGGCCAAGGCCCGGGGTGGGGGCTGCTGCTGACAGGCTCGCGGGCTGTGTTTGTGGAGACGCTGGCCCTGCGCCCAGCGGTCGCCTTGGTGCCCGTGCCCCTGGAGCGCACGCACTGGCTGCCTGGAGACCAGGCCCGCGTCGTGGCGCAGAACCTCCCTCGGTGACCCGTGGGAGTCTTTGCTTTGGTCCCGACCACGTCTCAACTAGCCTGGCCTGAGAAATGCTTTCCTTTGAATTATAAAACAGGGGAGGGGGATGTTCTAAAAGAACAGCAGGTGAATTGCGTTTGAGTGTTCCTTTAATCAACTTACTTGTGGAACACTTCGTAGTTGCGTTAGAACAGTACACAGGACTACCATCCATCTCCTTGCTGAGGGTCTGGGTGCGGCCCTAGGCCCTCCTGAATCTGAACCCCCCAACTTCTGACTGCCCCCACACCTAGCCCCCAACCAGAACAATAGGTGTTGCTCCATTGTTTCTGAAGGGAGCCCTCCCTAGAAGAGGCCTGGCTTCTGTTGACCTCAGAGAGGCTGCATCTCTTAAGGGGTGTCCTCTGGGGGCTTCTACATTCTCTCCTGACATGGCTTTGGGGCGACTTTGCTGCCCAGCAGTAGCAGGACACTCAGTTGTAGCAAACTCAGGAAGAAGCAGCTCCTTCTCGACTCACTGGCGTGTCTGAATCCTCTCTGCCCGCCTCACCCCAGCTACAGAATAGCCCTAGCCAACTGCCTGGGTCCCCAGGGGCTGTGATGGCAGATCAGGCTCCTCTCCCCCACGCTGCCCACTGATGGACTGCCCAGGAACGGCTGTTTAGGAGAGCATCTGCAGGCCCTCACTCAGGACCCTGGGCACCCGAACTGGTCTGATAGGCAACCTCTGGCCCTGCACTCACTGGGAGCCTGTGGGACGGCAGGAGGGGCCACAGGCTGGCGAGCCCAGGCAGGAGGTGCCCTGAATCTGGTGTCTGGCAGTGCGAGCACTGTGGGCCCCTCCCACCACTCACAGCTGTTGGAGGCACCCTCAAGGACAGCTCTGTTTACCGGTGGCCATGATCCCAGTGGGAGGGTGTGTTACCTCCACCTCAGAAGACCCGGCAGGCTGTCTGTGGACGGCCTCACAGGCCCCGGAAGGAGGAGCGCCAGGCTCCTGTCCTCGCCCTTCAGTCACCAGGGCCTCACCTCCCCAGGGCACTGGCCTGTCCAGCCCCTCCCCAGGAGATAATGCAGGGTACCATGAGGCCAGTCGATAGGATCAAAACTGGGTGCAGAGCTGGCTACTGGGCCCTGGTTCCTGCTGGAGCTTCTCTGATCAGTTGGGCAAACCCAGCTCCAGAAACCTTTATGATGGGGTGTGGGTGGGAGTTGTAGAGAGATGCCAGGGCAACAGAGATCCTGGGGGTGGTTGGGGAAGGATGAGTCTTGGAACTACTGAAAGGCTGAGTGCCTGGAGTAGGGAGGACATAGGAGGGACGGGACAGGGGCTTATTGGGGGGACACTGGGGCATTGAGGTCCCAGGGGAAGACACTAGGGGCTAGAGGGACACAGGGGAGATGAGAGAATGGGAGTGGGGATATTGGGGAGCAGAGAGAAAGAAGAGGGACACTGAAGGGCTGGAGGGACACCAGGGGGCTTAGAGCCTGGGGTAAATGAGGTACTGGGGTCTGGAGGACATGGAGGGTGACAAAGGGACTTGGTGTACTTGAGGGGATCTAAGATGAAGTAGAGAGCACCACGAGGAGGTGCTGGCCCCCTTCACCACCAACCCTGCCCCCAGCTGGCACACTGTGTCCCCCAGAGGGGTTGGGGCAGGAGGAAAGGCGGTCTTCCTCAGGTCAGCGAGTGGTCCTGGACAAGGGAAGCTTCAGAACACAGCCATGGATCCTAGAAATGTGCCAACCAGATGGGCCATAGTGATGATTATAGTCTGTCGTGCATCTGTCCGTCTGTCCGAGTGCAGGCCTCCGCTGAAGGGTGGGCTCTAGGCTCACACCTGCCACTGGAGTCTTTGTTTGAGGAGCCAATGATGGTCACGCTGGGGCGTGGGCAGACCTGAGTAGGAGGTAGTGGCCTAAGCCTGCTCTTGGAGAACAAGCCTTCCTGTGGACGGACACCTGATCACAGAGGGTAAGGTGTCGGGGGTCCTGGGCGGACCCTTTCAGAGTGCCTCTGCTCTGGGGACACGTCCTGGGTAGGGGTTGGGTGTGGTGTCCTGGCTTACTGGGTAAGAGTCTGGGGACATGTTGAGTAGCACCCCCTGTGACTTGAACTCACACAGCAAATGTACCTGGGAAACTGGCTAAAGGCCTCCTACCCACTGTCCACCCTGGGCAGCCCCCACAGGCTGGGGCAGGTTTCTGGAACCCTCATCCAGAAGAAAAGGAGAGAAGCCAGAAGGGGGTGCCCTGGGAGTACCTACGCTGATGACCCCTTTAGTTCCCATCCCCTTCCCTCCCCCCAACCCCCGCATTTGGCAAGACTTAGAGCTTCACCTATGGCACCCTGAAGCTGACCACCATGAGCAGGAGTAGGGTGGGCAGAGGGACTTCTGTAGCCTGGCTATAGCCCTCCAGGAGTCCCAGGGTGGGGACCTGGGGGGTTAAGGGCTAAGAGTGGTCTCCCATCCCTGGGCAGAGAGGAAGCCTGCTCCCTCTCCGCCTGCCCTCCTGCCCTGCCCCCAGTCCTCCCCCACAATGGTGCCTGGCTTCCAAGTCTCACTCCCTGGACTATCCTCAGGGGCCATGGTGAGAAACAAAGTTGCAGCCTGGGACTCAGGAGGCCACTTCTGTCCTTACATCACCTAGGGCCTGCCCAGTTGCCATGTTAGCTGTTGGGATTCTTGATGTGTATGCTGGGGGCCGCACCTTCTGCCCAAAGCTGAGCTCTGGGGACCCTCCCCAGGCAGCTTCTGCCCCAGAGTGGACAAAGACCACCATGGCGAGGTTTATTAGGCTTGCTTTATTAGGCTCCGAACTGGGTTCTAGAATTCTAGGTCCCGGGCAGTGCCGTCACAGATGCTGGGAGACCAGGACCTCAGGGTTCTCATAGCAGTGGGCCTCCTTGCTGTCAGGGTGAGGGCTGCGGCAGGCCTGACACGGACAGCATCGGGTGACCAGGCGGTCCCAGGGCTCCAGTGAGCGTAGGCTGTAGGGCAGCCAGGCCCAGGACCGCAGCCTACGGGGCAGCCAGGCCGGCCTGTGTCTCTGCAGCATGTTAATCAGCAGGACCAAGAGCAGCAGCCCCACCAGGGGCCCTGCGACTGCAGCCAGCACCGTGCTGCCCGCCAGGGAGAGCCCGAAGGCTGCCAGGGGCAACAGAAGGAAGCTGAGCAACAAGTAGGCGATGGCCACCCAGCGGTAGCGGGCGGTCAGGTCTCCAAAGCGCTTGGACATCGGGATGGGCAGCCGGAGCGCCGGCACAACATACCACAGCAGGATGCCCGCCAGGTTGAAGAAGAGGTGGATGAGGGCCACCTGGGAGGCAGGGGACGGTCAGCCGTCCGGTGTGGTGAGGTGGGGCCACCCTGGACTGCCCGGACCCCCACGGCCCCTGAATATTACTCCAAGCCTGAAGCTGCTTTGCAGGTTTGCTCAGTGGCTCCACTGGGACCCCAGAGGGGCAGACTCTGCTCTGGTGAGCAGAGGCCCAACCCAGCACCCTAATGGGGCGGTTCTGGCCCTGCTCGTAACCCTGTCTTAGGCCGTCTCCCTCTTCCTGAGGGATCTCTCCACCCTGCCCTGCTCTGGCCTCTGGTGTGAGGAGTCAGAGCCTGAGGGCTTCCTAGAAGTGGAGAAACAGCCCAGAGTGCGGGTGCTGGGAGCAGGGCGGAGCCAGAGGGGTGCTTATCTCCCAGACCCTGTGGGAGCTGGGAGCATTGAGGCGGAGGAGAGTGCAAGAGGAGGCCAGAGCCCGGCTCCAAGGCGTGGCTTCAGGTTCCAGCTGTGGTCAGAAGTGGACACCTTGGGGAGTTTGGCTACAGCCATCCGGGGGCCCCAGAGGCCTCCTCCTACCTGTAGATGGGGCTGGCCTCGAGGGACTGACCCCAAGGGAAAGAAAGCCCAGGCAGGCACCTGGGGGACGGTGGTGTACCTGGAGGGCACTGAGCAGCATGTCTGATGGGCTGGCCAGTGCAGCCAGCAAGGCCGTGGTGGTAGTGCCGATGTTGGCGCCCAGGAACAAAGGGTAGGCCCGCTCCATGGTGATCACGCCAACTCCTGGGTGAGCTGGGGGTCACCTCAGAGCCCTGCCTGCATCCCCTCGCCCCCACTCTGCCATGGCCACCATGAGCCCAGCACCACACCTGCCCTGCACTCACCCATCAGGGGCACGATGGCAGCCGTAAAGACACTGCTGCTCTGAGCCACGAAGGTCAGGCCTGCCGCCACCAGAATAGCCAGGTAGCCACTGAGCCAGCCAAATGGGAAGGGGAAGTCTGCAAAGGCAGATTACTGCGGACCAGCACATCCCCTGCCCTGCTAGTGCTCAACTTCACCCACCTGACTGCCTGTCCCATTCTACTGGCACTGTCCACATTTCCCAGGTCCTTACCTCCTGTCCCCTCACCACCCATGCCCACGCTGCCCACCTGCACCTCATGTGCCCACACCCCCATGCCCATCCCCACATCCCCCCATGTCCTCCTGTCCCCACACTCCATGTCCTCCCGTGCCCACACCCCCCATGTCCTCCCGTCCCCACACCCCCATGTCCTCCTGTCCCCACACCTCCCATGTCCTCCCGTCCCCACACACTCCATGTCCTCCCGTCCCCACACTCCCCCATGTCCTCCCATGCTCACACCTCCTGGGCCCACATCTTTCATGCCCACACCTCCCATGTCCTCCTGTCCCCACACCTCCCGTGCCCACAAGGCCCATGCCTGCACAGCTGCACTGCCCTCAGCCAGAGATCACCTTGCACTACCTAGGCTGCACCTCCCAGGTCAACGTGCATAGCCCATGCCTGCACCCTATGCCCACACGCTGTGCCCACGCCTGCCACCCATCCCTGCGCACACAATCACACTCCCAACGTCCACCCCCACACCCAGGCCTCCATGCCTATACCCACACTGCCTGTGTCCACCTACGCACCCTGTGTTCATGCCCACACTGTGCCCATGCCTCAGATGCCCGCCCCATGCCCACGCCCACATTGCTTGTACCCCTGCCTGCACTCACGTACCAGCATTGATAATGGTCCGCACGGCCTGGGCAATGCGGCCCCGCAGCACCGAGTTGAGCAGCTTCACAATGAGGACCAGGCAGGTGCAGAGCACGAGCAGGGAGCCAGCCAGGAGGATGAAACCCACAGCTAGGTCCGTGAGTGTTGTGCCCACAAACAGGTGGTGGCCTGGGGGGCAGTGGGCAGTCAGAGGGCAGGGAAATGGGGCTGGGCGGGCCAGGGCAGGGCGGGCCAGGGCTCACAGAGCAGCCTGTCATCAGGGGCTGTGCTGTTCCTCTGGGGGCATCCAGCGGTGTCACAGGTATTGCTGTCCTCGGGCTGGAGGGCAGGAGGGCAGGAGGGCAGGGCCGAGGGGTTAGAGTAAGGAGGCCGAGTTGCTCAGCAGATGGTAGGACAGGGTCGTACGGGGCTGTTGTCAGGGCACCTCACCACATGTGACCTGGTGCCACACCACTGCTTAATGAGGCTGCTGTTGGTGACGTTCCCTGTGGCGCTGCTTGTAAGCAGGTCCTTGTCCAGCTGGGCGGCAGAGAGGTAGAGACCACATGCTGAGCCCCTGGGCTTCACGTGGGGCTCTGATGTCTTCAGCGTCCAGTCCAGCCCGTTCTGTTAACTCAACACAGGCCCAGGTCCCCCCTTCCCTCGTCAGAGCCTATAGCCTATCTTTCTCACCTTGGGCAGAACCAAGCCTGGTCCCTTGTTCCTCCTGCCCCAGGGCAGGGCCTGACTTCTCTTCCCTCTATGTCCCCTGTCCTCTCATCCTGGGCAGGGCTGTGTCCCCTGTCATCTCAACCTGGGCAGGGCTGTGTCCCCTGTCCTCACATCCTAGGCAGGATTATGTCCCTTGTCCTTCTTGCTCTGGGCAGGGCTGTGTCCCCTGTCGTCTCATCCTGGGCAGGGCTGTGTCCCCTGTCGTCTCATCCTGGGCAGGGCTGTGTCCCCTGTCCTCTCATCCTGGGCAGGGCTGTGTCCACTGTCCGTCTTGTTCTGGGGCAGAGCTGTGTCTTCTGTCCCCTCTGCCTAAAGCAGGGCCTGTGTTTTCTGTCCCTTTCATCATGGGCAGAGCTGTGTCTTATTCCTCTGTCCCCTTGTCCTGAGCCAGGGCATGCATACCCACCACCTGCCCTGTTCCCCAGCATGGGAAGGCACTGAGGGCCCCAACAGGAGCAGGATATCCTCACCTGAATGATGAGGTGTGTGAGAGGCTCTGTTAGCACCTTGAGGATGTCGGGGGCTTGTGCCCCTGGCTGCAGGATGGCAGCACTCAGAGCCAGTGCGCTGAGCCTCTCCAGAGGGGCCACTGCACTCTCCAGGGGCAGCAGGACCAGCACAGTGAGCCAGTTGAAAAGGCCATGCAAGGCTGAGCCACCAAAGGCCCTGTGGAAGCCAAGCAAAGGGGCTGGTCAGACCCTGCCCATGACCCACCACGGCCCTGCCCACGGCCCATCACGGCCCTACTCACCTGCGAAACTCATCTCGGTCCCCTGACTGTGCCATGGAGACCAAGGTGCTGGTCACAGATGTGCCTACGTTGACGCCCATGATGATGGGCACTGATGCATGGACGGTCAACACTGTGGGGGTGCCTAGTCAGCCTGAACTCCTTGCCCCAACCCACCCTGTGCCCAGCCCAGGACAGAGGCACTCACACTTGGAGGCTACCATGCTGACCACGATGGACGAGGACGTGCTGGAGCTCTGCACCAGGATCGTGACCAGCACGCCAATGACCAAGCCAGCCACAGGGTTGGCTAGCACCAAGTTGTCTTTGAAGATGTCTCCTGTCACTTTGCCTGTAGTCCAGAGTGAGGAGCATGGAGAATGCAGAAGATTGGCCCTCCTCCCCCACCCCTGCCCTGTATCCACTCACTGCCCAGCAGCTGGAAGGCAGAGCTGAGGATGTCCAGGGAGCAGATGAAGAAATACAGGTTGCCCAGGAGACCACAGGTCTTGAGGAAGCCCACAGCGACCCGGCGCACTCTGCCAGCCACAGTGAGCTCTGGGAGCATGGGATAGCTGTTCTCACAGGGAGCACTGCGCCTGCAGGCCTCCTCCTCCTCCACAGTTCCCCAACTGCGGCTGTCTCCCTCCGCTCTCCCCCATCTGGGACTATCCCCATCCCCTAACTGGAGCTGTCCCACTCCCACTATCTCCCAGATCAAGGCTTGGTCCCCTTGTAAGTCCCCCAGAACATGAAAGGTGTGCTGAGCACGGCGCCTGCTGTGCGGCCTCTGAGCACTACCCCCACGTACCCCACCTCTGTTCCCACCCCGCCCTTAGGGCCCTGGGGCTGTCATCACCCTATCCCAAGGACAACTGCAGACGCACCTCTCCAGGACTGGCTACTATCCTTCAGCTGTGGGAGGGCCCAGGGGTCCGTGCCCCCCTCCTCTGGGGCCAAGGCAGAACTGGAGACCTCTGCAGGGGTCGGAGTCAAGCAGTTTCTGGGACCCGCAGGTGGGGGCCAAGGGGATCAGGGAGAGTGGGGCTGAGGCTGGAAGGGTTTGGAGTGAGGGCTCCAGAGGGGTCCTCCAGAGGGCTGGGCCCTGCCTGGAGCTGTCGGGCCACATGGACTCTGGAGGGGGCCAAGGCCTGTCCAGCATGTGCTGTCAGGATAGAGGTGGGGCAGGCTGAGACTGGGCACCGAGGGCCCTGGTACCTGCTTGCCCCTCATGCCGGTCCACCAGATCAACTGTGTCCAGAGTAGGGTGGCAGACCTGGCCTCCAGTGAGGGGACTCGACATGGCTCTCAGCAGGGACAGACCCAGGCCTGAGCCCGATCTGTGGGAGAAAAACCCATCGGAGACCTCACCATCGGGCCCTACTCTGGCCAAACAGCTCCCTGCCACTGCCCCCACCCTTGCTGGCCTCAGTGGCCTCCCTGCCACCGTCCACAGGGCAATGGTTACAATGACCTCAGGCCGCTGTCAGATGAGCCCTGTCCAGTTTGGAAGGCAGAGTTGAAGGGGCCCAGGCTCCCGGCTCCCTCGCTGGTCCTTGCTGCGATGAGGCCAGGTGGGTGGCTGAGATCACAGGGTGCGGGGGTGCAGGCCGGAAGCAGCCGGGAACTGGGGAACCCAGGGACCTCTCCTATCAGGTGTCATCGAGGACACTGCAGATGGTCCCCGCTTAGACTTTGGCATTTGATCCGAAATGGTGACGTCTCTGCCAGATAAGGACCACACCCCCCAGGGGACTGGAAGCAGAGGTAAGGGGCTCGTGCACCCCAACCGCCTCAGGGCTCCTCCACCACTAGAGCTGGGCCCCCCGATCCCCCACCTGGACATGCCGGCACCAGGGTTTCCCTGGCACCCTCCTGCCTGCTTGCCCTGAGTCTGTCTGCCTGGCCCTGCCCTCCATGTCCCTGGTCCTAGAACCACCTACCTGTGTGGTGCTGAGGGGCACCTGTGGGAGGTGTGGATCTGCAGGTCAAAGATTTGCTGGGCACACACATGACCTGCTGTGTGCTGGGCCATTAATGTTTACCCAGCCCGGCCCCCGAAGGGACTCAGCCTGGCCCCCAGGCCAGTGTGGGAGCATTGGTCAGCTATGTGGCCAGCCAGGTGCCGACTTGCTGTCTGTGGTGGACAGTCCTTCTGTTTCCACCCCATCAAAGGTTCTGCCTCTCCCAAGCCCACAGCCCCTTCCTGCAAAACCAAAGTTTCTTTGCAAAGTTACAACTCCCAACAGGAACGGGGTGTCCTGACAGCCAGGTGAGCATGGTTCCCACGCGCTGCTACCTGAGCTGTGGAGGGCTGTCTCGTGTACCTCCACCATTCCTGCTGTCTACTCTCCCCAGCCACCCTAGACTCCATGGCCCCGGGGCGGGGGGCTCCTCTGCCTCTCAGAGCCAGCAGGGAGGTGTTCCAGGGCCAGGCAGCCAGTCCTCGATGACTGGACATCCCGGTTGACCCAGTTGGCCTCTCGTACTGCACCAGCACAGTGTGTGGCTGACTGCCCATGACAGGTGCTTGTGTGAAACTGGAGCCTCTGGACCCTGGATGCTCAGCCCAGCCTGCCATGGGGTAGTCCCCCTTTTTGGACAGAGGCTTGAGGGATATATTCCATGGGAGGGGACAGGGCAGGTGCCAGGTCCGAGGAGTGGGCAGCCTCAAGCCCCTGGCAGTGCCTGCCACTGTATGCACCAGGTAACACCCTGCTGAGCCCTGAATGGTCCTTTGGCCTCCTGGAGCGGCCCCTCCCCTGTAGACCTGGTCTCCCCGAAAGCCGCCTTCCCAGCACCCAGCCAAGGGACTTTGCCCGACAAAGGAGGAGGCTTTCAAGTGTCCACTCAGCAAATTCCCTCTCACCCTGCCTCCTGCCTTTCGCCCACTAGCCATAGTGGTCCTGGCGTTTCCCTGGGGCTCCTCAGTATCCGTCCTGGGTGGGAATGAGATGTCTGGACACCCCTTGTGGGGGTGGTGAGTGGAGGGACTGTGACCTTAAGCTAGAAGGGCCCAACTTGCCCTCTCTGAGCCACACTGGCTGCCTGTCGCCCCAGGAACACCCAGCCAGCACCCCCAGAAAGCACAGACTCTCGTGGGCACAGCAAACATTGTTGAGAGAAAAGCTGTCCGTAGAGTGAAGGAGGCCCAGCCCCCGCCCGAAAGGCCGGCCCCAGGTGTGGACGTGTCCGGAGCTGCCAGTGTCTCTGGATCGCTAACCGCAGTTGAGTGCAGGCTGACACGCCGCACGTGTCACAGCCCAGTTCAGCACACTCAGTGGATCCCAGCCTGGCCACCAGGGGACATTCAGCGCTGTGGCTACAGCCCCTTGGCTGCTGGCAGTGCTCAGGGTCCCCACAGCCAGAGGGTGCCATGCGAGGCCCCATGGTGCTGGACACAGACCCAAGCCCCAGACAGAGGTCCTGAGACTCCCCGAGGGCAGCTATGGCCTGCTCAGACGTCGGGGCCACCTGGGAGGTCCCAGCACACGCTGCAGCCCCAGCAGCAGGGTCTGGCCTGAGAGAAGTGGGATTGAGGGCCAAGGGTAGGGCAGAAGTTGGCAGGCTGCTGGGTGATGACAGTGCCCTCTTTGGGTAGCCTGGGTGGCCGGGACACCCCTGGAGCCAGCTCCTTCTCAGCCTTGACAGCCAGGAAGGCGCCCAGGTCGAGGTCCAGCATGGCCACCCCTCCCCGAGGCGTGGGTGTGCTCTGACGGCACTGTGGGCAGGGGATCCAGCGCTGCTCATGCACTGGTGCGTCCAGCCGCCGGACACACGCCTGACAGAAGGTGTGGCCACAGTAGAGGCGGCGGGGCAGGTGTCCAGCCAGGTCAAAGGCTGAGTAGCAGATGACACAGTCTGTCCTCTGGGTCCCGGCAGGGGTGGCTCCCTCCTCAGAGACCCCAGGGCCCTCAGACTGAGGCATCCTGGGGTGTGGAGACAGTGGACATTCAGCCTGCAGTCTGCATCACCATCTCCCCACCCCTCTGGGCAGACAGTGCTGTTTCCTGGCCACTGCCCCTTGCTGCGGCCAGATCTAGGGGGTGAGGTGAATGCCAGAGTCTGGGCTTGGCGAGGGTCTGGGAGGTCCAAAGTGGGCCAAGTCCTGCACAGGTATCCAGTCCCCCATGGTCCCTCCTGCCCACCCTGACACTCCTCAGCCCACCTCTTACCTGCACCTGGGTTGCTGGGCAGCCAGGGCTGACCAAAGAGTGGCCAGTGGCTGGTAGGGAGGGCCCCAGGGCACCCTGCGGCTCCCTCCTTGGGCTCGCATTACCAGCCTGAGAGTGGACCAAGCAGCAGGGAGGCAGGTGGCGGGCAGCAGACGCGGGTTCCCCTTTCAGCCACAAAGCATTGCAACTGGATCCCCCAGCACTGTGCTCTCCCAGAGGCCCCCCTTGCCCCTCTGTGTTCTCTGTGCACCCCACAACGTGAACACTCCCAGAGGCCCCACCCACATGCCCCTCTGCATCCTCTGTGCACCCTGCAGTGTGAACACTCCCCAACGGGCCCCACCTGCCCCTCTGTGTACCCCACAGCATGAACATTCCCCAAGGGGCCCTCAATGGCCACTCTGCATCCTCCGTGCACCTGAGTAATGAACACTTCCTGGAGATGGGGCCCAGAACCCCATCCACCCGAGCATTGTCCACACCCTAGGACCTGGATGCCTCTCTGTTCCCAGCCCCCTGTCCTGTCTTTACTTAACCCACCAAGTCCGCCCAGGCCGGAGACCCCCACACTGCGCCTACTTACCCTCTGCAGACTACCTCCTGCCCTCTAGCACTCTCCTGGGAAAGCTCTCTGCCTCAGGTGGTAATCTGTTCTCCACCTTGGAGCTGTCTCCTCCAGGAAGTCCGCCCGCATTCCCAGCCAGCATGTGTCGACCAAGTGTGTGAGCTCTCAGCACCTCCAACTGGTCTGGCTGGTGGCCTGTCCTCACCTTGCTCTAGCAGCAGGCCCCCGGGAAGTGCTCTGGCACCACCTGTCGAAACCCTGGAGGCTTTGCACCAGCCACGTTCACTAACCAGAAGACATGCTCCATGGTTCTCAACAGCCCTCTTGACTGACTCAACCCTGGACACCCACCAACACGTCCTGTCCCTCTAGCAATCCTTCCAGGCCAGCCAGGCCAGAGGGAAGTGGTCCAGATAGGGTTGGGAGGCTGCGCTCTCAGCCCAGAACCCTCAGCACCCTGGCTGAGTGGGAGCCACAGGCCAGAGGAACCTCCCAGAACTCGTGTTACCCACCCCCCCCCCCCCCGCTTTGCTATCCACCCTTCTGGGTCCATGGAGTGGCCCAGTGGGTTCTGGGTCAGTGGAGTATCCTACGGCTGAGTGAGGAAGGTACTGGGAGGCTGAAAGCCAGCCAAGGTGTAGGCAGGGACAGGTAGGAGAGGGGCAGAGACTGGTGGGGGTCTGATGGAGAGCTGGCTGAGATTTCAAGTCCCCTGGGCATAGGGTGATGGGGTCTCTGGGCAGGACAGGTAGAGCCTGGCTGAGAACTGGTTGAGATTTGGGGTTTCCCAGGCAGGGCAAGTGGGGACCTGGATGAAATCCGAGGCCACAGGTATCTAGACGTCCTTTGCACAGTCATGCCCATGATATGTGCTGAGGTACTTGTCCCACATCCTCTCCATCTATGCCACACATCCACCTCCCTGCACTGAGCAAGGACCAGCTCATCCGGCACGGCCAGCTTGGCCTCCACCTACTGCCCACTGCCTGCCTGGAAACGCCAAGGCTGCCTTCTCCCTGGCCTCCAGTCCACCGCTTCAAGTGTTTTTGCCTAGCTGTGTGCAAATTACCTAGAAAGCCACCTCAGGCTGTGAGGGTGGCCAGCCAGACACGCCAACCCCTCACAGACCCTACCACCTCCTCCAGGCCACCCAGGGCTGAAACCCCAGACAAAGGACAGTTACTAGCAGCACAGCTTAGTGGACGAGTGGGACATATGCGGGAGTTTGATGTTTAGTGGGAAACAGAAAACCACCCTGGCTGAGGATGGCGATGAGTCAGTGGGGAGGGCTGGGTCCTGGCAGCATGAGCCTCATCTTAAGCTCTTACTCCCCGAAACCTGCCAGTGTCAGCCCCACCCATACCCTTTTGCCAGCCAGTCTCAGCCTCTGCTCCAGGCTGGGCAGGGTGGTCAAGCCCTAAACCCATCCCTCCTGTCTGTCATCCGTGGGCCTGAGCCCCACAGTACAGAGAAGTGTGTCCTGAGCCATGTGTCTCCTGAGCTGCATGACTGTCCTGGGGACTGTGTGCGTGCGTGCACACGTATGTGCATGTGTGTGTGTCTACTGCTGGGCAGCACACAGGGCAGAGTCAGGGGATTGAGTATATTCCACTTTATTGTCTGGATCCTGCTTTGGAGACGCTGTTGGAAGCTGAGCCATGGCCAGCACAGGGAACAGATTCAAGTCCGGACACTTCCTGGCCAGAGGTATGGGACCTTTGTGGCTAGGAGATGACACAGCAGCAGCTGTGACAGCGGCAGAAACGCGGGCAGTGGCAGCAGGAGCAGCAGGGGATGCAGCAGCAGTGGTGGGCAATGTCGTCGCCACGCCCGATGGGGGGCAGGCCTGAGTAGGTCAGTCCTGCTGGCCGCTGGGCACTCCCATAGGGGTTGCCTTGCTGCCCCCATGTCTGCTGGTCCTGGAAGGGGGCAGCACCTTTGGCTCCCTTGGGGTCTGGGGCCTCAATGGGCTGTAGGAGACGAGTGGGCTCTGGGCCACAGGATCCCACAGACAGAGGCTGTGTCTCGGAAAAGGAAGAGGAGGGTGGGCAGGGGGCCACAGCCAGCTGCTTCACCAGGTCCGGCCGCAGGTGGGCTCGGGGGATGCTCACATGGGTGTAAGAGTTCTTGATGGCCATCTCATGGGGATCCATGGCTCAGCCGCAGAGAACAGGTCTGGAGTAGAGATACAGAGACTCAGGAAGGGCAGGGTGTCCGAGAGTACTCACCCCGAGCCTGAGTGCAGACATCACAGTGTGCACCCAGTGAGTGGGCTGCGTGTGGCACAGAGGTGAGTGGCTTCAGTTGACCCCTGCTTTCCCCCACTGGGCACTGGGGCAGGGAGCAGACAGCAGGTATCTGCCTCTGACCACCCCAGTGGGGACACTTGCCGGGAAGGACCCACCTGTAGTTGGCAGCGGCAGCAGCAGCAGCAGTCTGTCCTCTGAGTGCTTCGGGGTCCAGCTCCCAGTGCCTGTGGGCTGAGCTCCAAGGGCAGCCTTTTCCCTCTTCAGGAGGGGCAGGGCCATGGGGCGGGGCTCCAGTATGGCTAAGGAGAAGAGGAACCGGAGGCTCCGGAGGCCCCAGCTCACCTCATTCTCAGGTGGGTGGTGGCTGCTCCTGGACCCAGAGGGGCACTGCCCGATAAGTGACTCAGTTTCCATGCATCCTGGGCATGCTCTGGGCTCCCAGGCTCTCCCTGGGCAAGGAGGTAGGAGGGTGCTGGGGTCACAGACTCAAGAGGAAGTGAGGCTGGCTGGAAGCTCCAGAAGCAGTTCCTGGGGTCGGCCTGCAGACAGGTTCCCACAGCCATGGCTCACACCCTGCTGTCTCAGAAGCACAAGGCACAGAAGCGGGGCATTACGCTCACTGTTTTCAACGAGTGTTGGATTTTCACAAGCAAGCGGAATTTCTAGCCTTTTTTTCCTCTCTCCTTCCTTTTTAGCAAAACAAGTGAAAAAGGTTAATTAAGGCACTAAGACAAAAAGGTATAGCCAGCGAAAGGTTGGCCAAGTAAAAGAGTTAAAGTGGAAAAAGAAGGAAGGAAAGGGGTAAAACACTCCTGGTAAGACAGGAGTGAACCCGACCTTACAGCATGCTGTCAGCTGAAAAGGAGGGTAACCTGAATCTGCACGTTCCTCTTGAGCGGGACGCTGCGGGATGGAGGCCAAGTGCCCCCAGGAGCATCTCATCTTCGGCGTTCCCGCCCCTTCCATCATTCCCAATGTCAACGGGGGAGGCGGGGATGGGGGCCGTTGACAGGTTACCAGCCTCAACTCGGGGATCTCTCCAGGGGCCCACATCCCCGCCCCAGACACAGCCCCCCAGGAGAGGTGGAGTCAAGACTTATGAGGTTGGGGGACCAGGGTGACTGGGAGGCTTGGGTGGGGTCAGAGACACTGGTCAGGACACCGGATGTAGGGGAAACTAAGGCTGGGTCTAGGGCACAGGGGACCCCCCCTGGGAGGAGACCAATGGAGATGTACTGCGCAGGCACCAGGAGCTCGCCCCGGAGGCTCCGCCTCTTGCTGCGAGTGAGAACAGTGCGCATGCCTACAGGAGGCCTGGGGCGGGAGCTAGAGGAGAAAGCCCAGAAGCCTCCGCTCTCCAAAGTTTCCTTAAAGACCTGGTTTGGGGTCCGCCGGCCTCGGATGACCCACCATATTCGGCCATTAACGAGGGGGATTTGGGGGAGGGGAGTCCGGCCTGAGGTGGGGCGGGGCCTCACTGCAAGGGGTGAGCGAGGGGTGGGGCCTGTTGGTGGGCGGGCCCGCGGGGGCGGGGCTTGCGCTCCCGTGTGCGCCCTTGGAGAGCACGAGGCTGCGAAGGGAGGGCTTCCAGGCCGCTCCTGGCCAGGCTGCCTCAGGGTTCCATGCTGTCAGGGCCTCCTTGCGGCTCTCAAGGCCCCTCCCGCGCACCTGCTCACCTCTCACACCTGCTGGAGCCCAATAGCTGTGGAAACTAGCCGAAACTCTAGCCTGGGTCACCTAGAGCGCAAAGCCAGGCCCGCTGACCCCGGATGCTCCTCCACTTTGCCACAAGGGCTCCCTCAGCTTTCGTCCTTCTGACCTATTTAGAACTGTGAACAGAAGTTCACACTGCCCAGGGTCTGGCACCAGACTTTCAGGACGCCATGTGGCAGCTGGGCAGCCACGGCCCTCAGAGGACCCCATAGATCCCCTCCCCTGACTCTGGTTCCCCATAGGCAGAGGGCGGATGCTGTGGGCAGGGAGCTGGTCTGACAGGCAAGTGGAAAGGAATGGGGCATTGCCGGTAGGGTGACACTGACACAGGGGCATGCGCTGACCTGGGGTGGGTACCAGGAGGAGATCCACCCCACCCTGGGACGGAACGTGCCCTCCCTGTGCCTTTCCACTTCCTGCCTGACACTTGTACAAAAGCTTGACCTTCTGTCCACCTGGGCTGTCCTGGTGTCCCCTCTGGCCTCTGGCGCCTCCCTGTAGTCCACTCTTGATGAGGGCTTGCCACTTGCTGCTCATCACCTCCTGCCTGCCCTTCACCCGCTGGAGCCCCCCTTAAGTCTGCAGGCACAGGGTGCAGCTGGATTTCGGGGTGTTCCCTGTTGGGGTGGAGCGGCAGGGGGGTAGGCAGAGGCAGGGGAGGTAACCCACACATAGGCTGACCTGTGGAGCGGGACCTGGGGTGGGGGGATTCAGCTTTTCTAGGACCCACTTCCCTGCTCCTGCCCCTCCCTTACAGCATCTTGAGGCCTGGGGAGGAAGGTCGAACTTCCTTTCCAAAACTGGGGAGGGCGCCCAGGCCTCAGGTCAGTTACGAGGGTGGGGGGACAGGAAGGGGAGACGCGGGGGTCCTCCAAGAGCCGGAGCCAGGCTCCGGTGGACTAAGCGGCGGCCAAGAGGCTGGCTCCGCCCTGCGGACCCCGCACTGGTTCCCAGACGGGTGGTGGCGCTGCGGGCGCGGGCGGGCGCCGCGCGCACTGCGGTCCCCGCGCCTCCGCCGCAGAGCGCGCCACGCTCTGCACGCACCTGCCGCCGCCGCCGCCGCCCGGCCCGAGCGCGACCCAACCCAGTCCCGCGCCCACCAAGCCCCCCTCCCTCCTGTGGCCTCTCGGTCCACCGAGGTCGCTGAGGCACCGCCGGAGTCGCCCGAGCCGCTGCCGAGACGCGGGGGCCTCATCCAGGCCTGCCTTTCAGACAACCTTTGCGGCGGCGGCGCGCGGCCCGGGACGCCAGGCTGGGGCAGGTGAGCGCGGGGCGGGGCGGCGGCCTGGCCCCCGAAGCTGGGTTCCAGTCCACAAGCCGGGAAGGGCGGGTCCTCGGGAAGGTGAGCCCGGCCTCCGGGTGGACGCAGGGTAGGGGCTGGGTCCCGCGGCCGGCGGGGGTGGGGCTCCCGCTGCTAGGTCAGGGTCGGAGGTCAGGCGCTCGGGTTTTGAGCAAGGGTAAGGGAGAGGGCGGGCTGGAGGGGGGGGTCGATGGCAGTGGACGCCGCCCTCATGCTGTGTCTCACCTGCAGTCCGGGCCTGGCACAGGCCTCTCCGCTGCCGCCGACGCGCCTGCGGCCCAGGTCCTCGGGAGGCCAGGGCGCAGGCTAGCTGCCTTCCTTGGGCGCCCTGCCCTGGAGCCATGGGGCCCACCTAGCCCCGGCCTGCCCCGATGTCCCGGCACAGGGACTGCTGACCTCGGCTGCAGGGGGAGCCCCTCCCACGGCCCCTCAGCAGCCTCCGAAGCCCAAGATCCTGGGTGAGAGCCTGGGTGAGACTCCCAGCCCAGGGCAGCTCCCCACCCTCCCTTGTCCTCGCCTCCCACCCCCACCCCTGCCTCTTCCTCCTCCTCCCAGGACTGGACCAGAGAAACCATTGGGGGGGGCCCTGCCCCCCCAGCTATCACCGGCCGCCCCCACGAGTCCACGGGGCGGCCGGGGCCCCCCTCAGGCCTGGCAGGACCAGGATGCTGCCCCTTTGCCTCCCCCCCGGCCCCAGCCAACGCCCCCGCCCTCCCGACTGTCCAGTCTGACCCCAGGCAGCCGGATGCCGGCTGAGCTCGGGCCTGAGGCTGGCGGTGGCTGGCCGGGCCTCCTCATGTCCTGCCTGAAGGGCCCCCACGTCATCCTCAAGATGGAAGCCATGAAGATTGTGCACCCTGAGAAGTTCCCAGAGCTGCCGGTGGCCACACCCCGCTTCCCCCCAGTACCCCGGCCCACCCCCGCTCTGGCCCCCAAGCGTGCCTGGCCCTCAGACACAGAGATCATCGTCAACCAGGCCTGTGGGGGGGACATGCCTGCCTTGGAAGGGACGCCCCACACCCCACCCCTGCCCCGCCGGCCTCGCAAAGGCAGTGCAGAGCTGGGCTTCCCGCGCGTGGCACCGGCTGACGAGATCATTGTCAACCAGTATGTAATGCGGCCTGGGCCTGTGGCCCCGGCAGCCCCCTCAGCGGTGGGCGAAGCCCTTGAGTGCCCCACCTGCGGTCACACCTACAATGCCACGCAGCGACGGCCCCGCGTGCTGTCCTGCCTGCACTCCGTGTGTGAGGCGTGTCTGCAGATTCTCTACGAGTCCTGCCCCAAGTACAAGTTCATCTCCTGTCCCACCTGCCACCGCGAGACCGTGCTCTTCACTGACTACGGCCTGGCCGCCCTGGCTGTCAACACATCCATCCTGAGCCGCCTGCCCCCGGAGGCACTGACCGCCCCACCCAGTGGCCAGTGGGGTGGCGAGACCGAGGGCAGCTGCTACCAGACCTTCCGGCAGTATTGCGGGGCCGCGTGTACCTGCCACGTGCGGAACCCCCTCTCCGCCTGCTCCATCATGTAGTGCCTGCCGTATGTCGCCAGCCCTCACTCTGCTTCTCCAGGGACCCTGTCCACCTGCCCACTGACCCCTCTACGTCCTTCCATGTGGCATTGTCGCTGCAGCCAACTCTGCCATTAAAACTCTTTGCCAAACTTTGTACCTCGTTCCCTGGCCTGCAGCTGGCTTTTGTGACCTGAGGTGGGGCTCCGAGTAGGTGCATGGGCTGAGACAAGGCCTAGGGCACCAGGGACACCACCTGTTCAGCTGCTTACTTGCCAGGATCATCTGGTCTGGATGGTGTCCACTGGCCAGTGCTTAGGCATGGCAGGTGCATTTGCTGAACCAGCTGCAAGCTTGGGCTGGCCGTGGTGACTTCCACTCAGAGCTCCTCTCAGCCCCATTGCCCTGGCTGCCTGCCTGAATCTGAGCTCTGTCTGGGTCATCCCGATTATGTGGGGATTGCTTCAGACCGGGTCAGGGACAAAGGCTGGCTGAGGTTGTGGTGGGTGTAAGAACAGGAGGGCTTCTTGCCTTACACTTGGACCACTTACATTTGCAGAAGGAGCCTTTTGGATAAGAGACTGGCTTGGGTGTTGAAGACAGGTGAAGACAATAACCAGGGCAATGGAACATTAGCAACTGTTTATCAAGAGTTCCTGCTGTGGTCCATGCCCCTCAGCAGTCCATCTTCCCCCAACTGACTGGTCACACAGGGCCTTTGCCTTCCTCAGGTGGCCACTGGGACTCCGAGACATGATCTCCGTGAAGTCACACAGTCAGTTCACCGACAAGAGTCAGGGCCATTGTAGCACTGGTTTGTGGGCCACCGCTCCTGATTCATCCACTCCAGTCTTGACTGAGGTCGTGTGAGTAGACCCGAGCAGTGGACAGTGCTAAGTCTCTGCGGTGAGTGGAGTGAAGGTGCCACAGGCCCCTCCCCCAGCAGTCCTGACCTTTAAGAATACATACGGGTCTTTATCTGGAATATGGCCATGGCCATGGTCAGCAATCGCTGCCTGCTCACGGCACTGCTTCTCCAGTCTCCCACAGAGCCCCTCTGCAGACAGGGTGGCTGGAGAGTGGGTGTCCTGAGGGGACAGAGGCTTGCCACAGTGTGGTCTCTCACCTGGCCAGGCCTGAACCGGACTCCTGGGTGTAGTATCAGCAACTCTTACTTAAAGGCTTGGCTTCAGCTTGGGGCTTGGAGTCTAGGCCCCGCTGCACAGACTCCCCAGTGGCCACTTAGCGGCTGGCCTGGTCTAGGAGCACAAAGAGCAGCCCCAACAGCATGAGTGGCACGAAGATGACCAGCAAGCCCAGCAGCTCCAGGCCCAGCAGGCCCAGCAGAGCCATGCGCCGTGCACAGGGGCCCTGCTCACGCAGTGCCCAGAGCCTGGAGCCCAAGAAGGGTGGGCAGGGCAAGAAGGGGATGCAGCTGGGGTTTCCCGCAGGCCACTCGAGGAAGCGCAACTGGTAGCGGCGCTCCAGGGCTGCCCAGGGCCCTGAGCTCTGGGCAGGCTGGAGGTGCTCGGGGGGCGGCATGCGCTGGGGCCCATCGGCCTGCAGTAGCTCCTCCTGCAGCTGGCAGATGGCCCATTCAAGCATGGGTGTCTTCTGACGGCACAGGGGGCAGCGCACACGCCCCAGGTCTGCGCTGGAAACAGACAACAGCAGCTCCTGCAGACAGCGCTGGCATAGACCGTGGCGGCAATTGAGAAGCGCCAGGCAGTGGTCTCCTGGCCCATAGGGCTCTGTGCAGATGGGACACTCGTCCTCTTTGCTGTCCAGCCCCAGTGCTGCCTCCTGTGCTGGGGTCATGACCTCAGCCCCAGCCTCCAGCAGGGATTCTTGGTCCAATGAGCTGGCATCAGAGGTTGTCCCGCTCTCCTTTTGTTCACCAGATGGCACATGGCATGGCATGTCCAGCCACTTAGGGCTCAGGGGGCCCGGAGAACTTGGGGTGTCCAGTGCTGGGGAGCCCAGGGCAGGAATCAGAGTCGAGGACCGAGGCCTCAAAGCTGCAAGGTGACTGGGGCTATGAGGGCTGTGGTCGCCCTTGAGGCCCAAGCACGGTCTGGGCTCCACCCTCACGCCTGTACTCACTGAGCAGAAGGCGGGCTCTCTGGTGAAGTCAACTTTGCCTGGATCAGTGCCCAGTGCCAGTTCTGGGCAGACAGAAGGCCGTCCTCAGCTAGATCAGAGCCAGAGCACAGTCCGGGCCGCACCAGTACCTGCCCGATGCTTGCCGAGTCTGGCTTTGTGGGCAGCGAGGGAAAACAGTTTGGAGGGCACCTCCAGGAACCTCCTCCACCCGCCCTCCTACCAGGCGGAGCCACTAGACCCCGCCCCCAGGCCCGACCTCCAGCAAGGGGTAGAGGCCTGCCCACCTCCCTCCCTGCCTGGGCCTGTTTATAGGTGCAAAGTGGGCGGCAACAGGTGTGCCCTCATGAGAGAATTTCAGTACGTGGCAAAGGCTCGAGCGCGCGCGCACACACACACAGGCGTGTACACGCTCATCATGGGTGTGGCCACCCTGGCCCTAACTGAGCTGCCCAGTTAAACTGGACACACAAAAAGACAGGAAGGCACACAAGGAAGCCACCAGGAGGCAGCGGGAACTAGACACAGTTTATTGCTCTGCCTATCATCCTGGGAGCCTGTGTGACAGTGATGACTCAGAAGATGGAACTCCAGGGCAGGTCAGCTTTCACTGGGCCCTGCTGGGTACTGGGCACAGGAAAGCCTGCTGGCAGGCTGTGTGAGGGGTGCTGGAGTGCAGGCATGGTGGGAGGCTGTGAGGAGCAGTGAAGGGTAAGTGGCCCAGGCAGCAGCCCAGGGCTGTGCATCGTGTGGTCCCAAGGCCAGCAGCCACCCCAGGACCCTCTGCAGCTCTGAGATCTAGGCCCAAGTCTCTGTTTGGAAGCGCAAGGTGTGCTGGAGCTTGGCAAGGTAGCTGGCTGCCTCAGTGCTGGAGAGGCCACCGTGCTCCTGGAAGATGGACATCAAAGCCTCGGTGACATCAGCCGGCATGGACTTGGCATTCCTGAAGGGTGGGCAAAAGTACACCCTGGGTCCCTGGATGGAGGCCACCCTCCTCCCAGCACAGTTTACCCCCAGGTAGAAGCGGGCACCCTCCTCCCAGAATGGCTTACCCTCCAGGCAGAAGCGGGCACCCACTTCCCAGCACGGCTTACCCCGCCAGGTAGAAGTGGCCACCACGGCAGTCCAGGAGCTCCCACACCAGGGCCCCGAGCTCCTTCAGCCGATGCTGCACATACACCTTCTGCTCCTGGGGGTGGGGGGATGCCTGCACTCTGCCCACTGTGAACCACACTGAATCCTCCCTACATACCCACAACTGACTCCTACCCCTTCACAAAATACTCCTGGACCCCCACGTAGCCCTCCCTGGAGGCCCTTCTACACCCCAAATGAGCCCCACTGCCCCTCCATGGAACTGCCCCTCCAGCCTGCCCAACGGGGCTGAGCTAGCACCCACACATCATCTAAGGAGCTTGGGTCCACCCTCACACTTCCAGCCTCCTGGGCTAAACCTGCACCCTATGTGGCCATCTGGCACGCACCTGCTCCCTGGAGAATGCTGTGACCAGGACCAAGCAGCCCTGTCTCTCCAGCTCCCGCCACTCAGCCTCCCAGTAGAAGTCTTTGTCCTGCTGGCGGCAGCCGAAAAACAGGACATTTTCTGGGAAAAGGGCAGGGTGGTCTTGAGAGAGGACAAGGGTATGGGAACCAAGACATCTGTACAAGCTCAGACTTGGCAAGCCCTGCTCTTAGATGCTCTATGCTCACCAGTCCGACCCTGGGCCACGCGCTCCTGTATGGCGGCTCGGAAGGGGGCCACCCCCGTACCTGGCCCCACCATGACCACTGGACGGTCTGGTGCCTCTGGAAAGGTCAGGCCTCCAGGCCGCACCCAGAGCGGCACCCGGATGGGTCCTGTGCAGAAGGAGGCAGTATAAAGCGGCAGCAGGGCCCCCAGCTCAGCTCAGGATGTGAAGAGGAAAAGGAATCAGGGGTCTGAGCACACCCACCAACCCCCAAAGAGCAGACCTTGCCCAGGGTCCAGAGAGGCCAGCCAGCATGAGCACAGGCCTCGGCGGGGCTCCCTGAGACGCGTCTGGTACTGCACCACAGCCACGAGCACCTGCAGCCGCCCAGGGAGGGCCTGGGGCAAGGACAGTGAAAGTGGCCACTTGCAGCCGGGGTTTGGCTGCCCTGCCCCTGTTCTATGCACCCCTGCTCCTATCATCCCCCTAAAGTGAGACTGGCTTAGCCCACGGCCCTCACCAGCAGAGAAGAGGCAATGGAGAAAGCTCGGGGCCGGATCGGGGGGATGAGGTCCAGCAGGTAGTCCGGGGGCACAGCGCGGGAAGTGTGTGGGAAGTCACAGAGCACCTGGCGGAGGAGTAGCCCTCAGGCACAAACATCAAGCCCACCTATTCCTGAGCAGGCATGGAGTGCTCCTACCCTGTACCTGGGCAGTGGGGAATGTCCCCCATGCCCACACCTCCAGGAGCAGGGACTGTCCCCTAGCCCTGAAATGTGAAGGGCCCATCTACCTCCAGGATAGTCCTGCGTGGCCGGCTGCAGTAGTCATGGAGAGCCTCCTGGCCCTGGGCGGACGTGAACTCCAGCAGCTTCTCCCGCTCCACTGTGTGTGGGGAGAGGCTGGCCAGGAGCTCAAAGAACGAGCGGCGAGGGACACTGGCAATGTCCAGGTACCGGGACACGAGGTGCCACATGGAGCAGGGCTGTGGCAGCCGCTTGGGACAGGAGGTGTCTGTGGAGAGGATAGAGCTGGCAGCAGGGGAGGGAGTGGAGGCTCTTTGGCTTGTCTCCCCAGGGCCCCCTCCCACTCACCTGGCTCCTGGGGCTGCAGAGTAAAGCACTGATCAGGGTCCAGACCTAGCACCTGGCAGAACTGCTGGACATGGCTGGCCGTGTTCTCAGGCCAGATCAGCACCACGTCTCCAGCAGCAAAGCTGTGTGCGAGGCCAGGTCACAGAGCAGGCGGAGACATGTGTGAGGGGGAGTGGGGCATGGTGTGTGTGCAGCGTGTGAGACTCAGGAGGCGGGTGGAAGGGGCTGTGGGGGCAAGAGTGTGTGTAGAGGATGTATGCATGCATAGGGTGTGGGGTTCAGTGTGGGGCACTGGGGGAGCAGAGGCCCAGAAGACTCCCCCCACCACCCCCTCTCAGCCCTTTCCTGTGCAGAGGGGCTTTCTGACTCCAACTGGATTCCAGAGCCCCACTATCCTGGGCAGATCTAAGACTACTGGGCACCTATGGTATGCTAGTGCCAAGCCCACAGGGTCCCACCTGATCCCAGAGCCACTGATGTCGAACTCGATCAGCCGGACGTCCTGGAAGTGTGAGGGAGCAGTGACCCTCTGGTTGGAGAGCATGGGAGCCAGGAAGGGCAGGAGCTCTGAAGGGGTTCCCTGAGGATCCTTCATGGGCATACAGGGCTCAGCCGTGCAGGGGGAGCCCTGCAGGAACTTCAGGGTGAACTTGGGGGGCAGGCTGTGGAGGGGACAGGGATCAGCCTGTGCCCTGTGCCCACACCCCCACACCCTCAGAGAGCAGGAAGGCCCCTGGCCTGGTCCCACACTCACGGGACTCCAGGAGGGATGGCATCGAGGCTGGGGGGACCTGGGTGCAGCCTGAGCACCTCCTCCCACAGGTCTTGCAGCCAGGGGTCAATGGCAGCGTCAGGACTGCAGAGAGAAGTTCTGAGGGCACCACCTGCCTCCCTGGTACACCCACCCCAGCTCATTCCCAGTTCACACCCACCCCAGCTCATTCCCAGTTCACACCCACCCCAGCTCATGCTGGTCGTCACCCAGGCACACAGGCAAGAGGGCTCGGCCTCCAAGCTGCAGCAGGCGGCGATGAAGTTTCTTAGCAACGAAGTTGAATCTGGGGAGAGGGGTCAGAGGTAGTGAGCTCGGCAGTGCTGCATTGGGGCCCTGAGGGAAGCTGAATATCAAATTTAATAACAGTAGACCAAATGCTGTATCAGGAAATGAGGGAAGCTTAATACAAGCTGAAGATCACCTTGTGGCACTGGGGCTTTCCCTAGGAGTTAACATTGTTCTTAGTTTTGATCAAATGAATCCCTCCCTCTTGAAATTAGCATAAAGAGGAACTTGGCCTTATCTGTAAAAGACTTCACCATTATCCTTTGTTTTTGTTTTGCACTTCCTTGTGATTTTACTTTACCTTCCTTATGATTCTAAATAAATACTCAGAGAAGCATGGCTTGGGGCCTTCAGTCATGGGAACTGTTGGCCCCCTGTTTTTCACACTCTCTGTTCTATATCATTCCTGGTAGTCTGTCTCATTATTAGTAATTATAAAATTATTCTATTCTTTGGGACCCTCGGTCTGCAACATTCTGGCGCCTGAACTTGGGACAAGGTGGTGGTTTCTCTTTCTTTCTGTTTTTCGAGCAGACACGAGGAACCGAAAGGGAATTCGCTCAGGATAAGTGAAACTTTTAGGAAAATTAAAAACAGGGTCATGAGAGAATCTTCACTCCTTGGAAGTTAAGCATGTTGTTGCTGTTATGTGCCATTGAGTCGCTTGCAACTCAAAGCGACCCTATGTACAAGAGCTCTAAATGCTGTTCTATCCTGTGCCAACCTCGCCATCTCAAACACACTTATTCCCACCGCTCCAGTCACAGAATCGGTCCATCTCACCAAAGGTCTTCCTCTCCTTCGCTTCCCCTCCACTCGGCCAAACATGTCCCTTTCCAAGGACCAGTCCCTCCCTGCAACATGCCCAAAATATGTGAGACGAAGCTTCAGAATCCTTGACTCCAGGGAAC